GATAGATAGATAGATAGATAGATAGATAGATAGATAGATAGATAGATAAATAGATACTGTAGTCAGGGGTCTTCAAACTTGACAGCTTTAAGGCTTGTGGACTTCAACTCCCAGAATTCCTCAGTCATCTGACCTCAGGAATTCTGGGAGTTGGTCCACAAGTCTTAAACTTGCCAAGTTTGAAGACCCTTGTGATAGATGGATGGATAGATGATACATAGATATATAGATGATTGAAAGATAGATTGATTGATTGATAGGTAGGTACACAGAGAGAGAGAGAGAGAGAGAGAAAGATGATAGATAGATAGGTGATAGATAAGGGGTCTTCAACCTTGACAGATTTAAGACTTGTGGACTTCAACTCCCAGAATCCTCCTCCAGTCATGTGAACTCAGGAATTCTGGGAGTTGAAGTCCACAAGTCTTGAACTTGCCAAGTTTGAAGACCCTTGCCCTATACCATTTCAGACAAATCGCTGTCCAGTCTATTCTTTAAAAACTCCAGTGTTGAAGCACCCACAACTTCTGGTGGCAAGCTGTTCCACTGGTTAATTGTCCTCATTCTTAGGAAATTTCTCCTTAGTTCCAGGTTGCTTCTCTCTTTGTTGAGTTTCCATCCGTTGCTTTTTGTTCTGCCTTCGGGTACTTTGGGGAATAGCTTGACTCCTTCTTCTTTATGACAACGCATGAGATATTGGAAGACTGCTATCATGTCACCCCTAGTCCTTTCTTTCTCTAGACCAGCGGTTGCCAACCGGTGGAATGGACTGCGAGAAAATTTTGATGGGCCGCAGAGAAATCTCACCCCCAGAGCACCCCCACAAGGCAATTAATCCAGGCTGCGCAGAAACACAAGGCTGTGCAGCCCACATGGCCCGCGGGGACCCTCCCCGCCCACTCACTTCTTACCCGGTAAACTTTGCCTGCTAAATTGCTATGTTTCCTTTTTCTGACCATCATCTGTTCTGCTGTGCCGGGAGATTTAGATTAGCTAGGAAGCAGGAAATGGTTGGATTTCTTGCTTTCTCGCTAGCCTTTAGATCTTCGGCTCAGTACAGCCAAACCTCCCTTAGGACTGAAGGTTTGCTTGCAAGCAAATTCAATGCAGACTCACGGCAAGCAAATTTGAGAGACCGAGCTAGCCGATGGCAGATAGATAGATCACTGAATGATTCTGTGAGCAACTCAATCTGCCTGCTTTGCCTGATTTCGGGTAAAAGTAGCTCTTTTTTTTAAATAAAACATTCAGTATTTATATAAATATTTATAATATTTACATACAAGCCACGCCCAGCTAATCACATGACCACCAAGCCACACCCACAAATTAGGCCACACCCACAGAACCGGTTAGTGGTCCCTGGGATCTAAAATTATGAGTTTGGTGGTCCCTGAGGTCCAAAAGTTTGGCGACCCCTGCTCTAGACCAGCCATACCCAAATCCTGCAACCGTTCTTCATATATTTCAGTCTTCAGGCCTTTAATTATCTTAGCTGCTCTTCTCTGCACTTTTTCTAAAGTCTCATTTTTAAATATGTATAATGTGGTGGACCAAAACTGAGTGCAGTCTTCCAGGTATGCCTTACTAAGGCTTTATAAAGCGGTACTAATATTTCATGTGATTTTGATTCTGTGCCTCTGTTAATGCAACCAAGGATTGTGTTAGCCTTTTTGGCGGCCGGCGCACACAGCTGGCTCATGTTTCAGCGATCGTCCACCAGGACTAGTTTTGCTTTGCAAGGTTATTTTGGGACTCAGTGGAAGCGTGTTGTTAATCGTCCCCCATAGGCTGAATCCGCGCCTCTCTTTCTGTCTTGCAGAGCTTCAGCTGAAACCCAAACACCAACCCTACAAGATCTGCCGGCAGTGGCAAGAGCTGCTCTTCCGTTTCACCGGCTGCTCTGTGGATGAGATCATGGAAGGTGCTTTGCAGCTCCCCTGGGCAAATGGGATACGTACAAAAGTCCCTTCTCTAATCCTAAAAAAAAAGAGCTGTTCTTTCATTCCAGTTCTGCACCTACAAGAGGGGTGTCACTCAGTTTCATTGAGGGCCGCATCAGGATTGTGAATGATCTGGGAGGAGTGGGTGTGGCTGGGGGTGCGTGGCCAGTTCGGTGTCACTTGTGTCAGGGGCACCTGTGGTGGCCAAGTGCTAAGGCAGGACTTCCCTCAGAACCTCCCCCTCATAATCTTCCTTCCTTCCCTTCCTTCCTTCCTTCCTTCCTTCCTTCCTTCCCTTCCTTTCCTTTCCTTTCCCTTCCTTTCCTTTCCTTCCTTTCCTTCCTTCTTTCCTTCCTTCCTTCTTTCCTTTCCTTCCTTTCCCTTCCCTTCCTTTCCTTTCCTTTCCCTTCCCTTCCCTTCCCTTCCCTTCCTTCCTTCCTTCCTTCCTTCCCTTCCTTCCTTGTTTCCTTCCTTCCCTTCCTCCCTTTCCTTCCTCCCTCCCTTCCTTTCCCTTCCTTTCCTTCCTTCTTTCCTCCCTTCCTCCCTTCCTTTCCTTGCTTCTCTTCCTTTCCTTCCTTTCCCTTCCTTTCCTTCCTTCCTTCCCTTCCTTGCTTCCTTCCTTCCCTTCCTTCTTTCCTTCCTTCCTTCCCTTCCTTCCTTCCTTCCCTTCCTTCCTTCCTTTCCTTTCTTCCCTCTTCCTTCTCCTTTCTTCTTCCTTCCCCTCTTTCCTTATTTTTCCTTCCTTGCTCTCTTCCCATCTTCCCTTCTTTTTGTCTTTCCTCTTTCCCTTTCTCCTTTCCTGTCCCTTCTGGCTTGCTCAAATGAAAAAGGCAAAGAAACATTTCTCATTTTGTTTTGTTTTTAGTTTGTTTTGATAGCCCTCTGCCAGCGAAAATGGAGCCGGGGTGGGCTATGCGTGAGACCCCCTGGGCCCCATTTTTGCTGGCAGAGGCATCGCAGGCCATTGGAACTTCACACCATGACCAAATGACTAATCGACAGTTGAGGATGGTATGGTGTGTGGTTTATACTGTTGGATGTTTATGGAACGTATTTACAGATAGACCTCGATTCACAACCACAATGGAGCTCAAAATTTCTGTTCCCTTCGCTTGTCCAAACATCACATGACTCCAGGACACAGCAACTGTCATAAGTACCAGTCAGTTGCCAAGTGTCTGGGTTTTGATCACATGACCATGGAGATGCTGCAGTTGTCTTAAGTGTGAAAAATGGTCATAACTCACGTTTTTAGTGCCGTTTCAACTTTGAACAGTCATTAAATGAACCGTTGTAATTTGAGGACTACTTGTATTCCTCTAAAGTGAACTGCTAGAACAAGGTTTAGACTAGAGATTGACAGAGTTGGAAGGGACCTTGTAGGTCATCTAGTCCCAACCCCCTGCCCAAGCAGGAGACCCTACACCATTTCTGACAAAGGGCAGTCCAATCTTTTTTTGAAAAGCCTCTCCAGGGATGAAGCTCCCACAACCCCTGAGGGGGATTTAATCATTTCCAAAGTAGGTAAAAAGTAAATAATCCAATTCTGGGACTAATGCATGCAGAAAGTCTCTGTTTTGTTACCCGTAAGTTGTGCGTGTGGGGGTTGGCCAGGCCTGCCTTAAATTCTTCCCCGGAGAACCAGGATTTTAAATCACAGCCTGTCCTGTTTTTCTTCTCTGACTTTCTCGCAGACGAACCGTCGCTTCAATTCCTCAGAAATATCTTTTTTTTGAGAAGGAAGGAGCTGCAGGTGAGTTCAAAGAGAGTCCAGCTTATGCTTGCAAAATCCATTTATGGGCTTAGGGCAGGATGTGGCCCTCCAGTCCTTATTGTATACCCACCCCATGGGTTGAATAGTTGCCAGTTAGAACCACAGCAGAAAGTTTCAACACTTCTTTTCAGACACCCAAATATTGTTTAATCCTTGCTCAATAGAGCTTCGTTTTCTTTGCTTTTGGAAGTCTTTTTTTCTTTTCTTTTTTTAAACCCTAAGAAGTGTGGGGATTTTGGCTATTCCAAAAATTGGGGATTTTCTACCCAAATCATTGTGATTTTTCCTTGTTTGTTTTGGGGATGCGGGATGGGGTGCGTGACAGGGTAAAGAAAACTCAGGGATTGGCAGAGTTGTATAATTTTAGATTGACTTGCAGTCTTTCTGCCATTATGGAATAGTTAAAAACCTAAATTTCATGACTATCAACTAAAAAACACTCCATTGGACTTTTTAGTTGCCAACAGAAAGGGAGTAGGGAAGTGCATTCCTTAAATGCCTCAGATAATCGCCTTGACAGCTGAAGCTGTTGGCACGCAAGATTATTACTGGAGAGCATGATTGATGACTCTTGGCTATGGATGTGTCTCATTGGAGAATATACATCCAGGGCATAGAGTAGGAAGACCAGGGTCACGGGAAATGATGGTGTGTCTTAGTGTCGGCTGCAACTGGAAACGCCGACCTGTCAACTCCTAATCTTTTTTACTCTGAGAGGTGTGGCTAGAGACTTATGATTTGAATGGGGGTGTATGTTGGAACCCTGACAATGATTATTTGTAGTACGAGAATGCAGAAAAGGGATTAATTGATACATTAAGCTGTGATACACAGTTCACTTCAGATTGAATGCAATTCATCCTGTCTTTATGTCCATATAATTTCCTTGGCAATAATATGGAAATGGATTGACATTCTCTTTTGCAATATCTTTTTATTTAACTTCTCACTGCTGCCCTGGAGTTTTCTTGTCCCCTCCCAGGTACAGGTACTCCTCAACGTACCACCCCAATCGAGCCCAAAATTTCTATCGTTAAGCAAGAAATTTGTTAAGTGAATTTCCCCCCCTTTTTTTCCCAACCTTTCTTGCCACCGTTAAGGGAAACATTGCAGTTGATAAGTTAGTAACCTGGTTGTTCAATGAATCTGGTTGACTTTGCTTGTTAAGGAAGTTGCAAAAGGGGATTACATGACCCTGCGACACTGCAACCATCCTAAATATGTGTGATGATCCGGGGTGTGACACAAAAATAACAAAGTCACAAAAGTAGAATAAATTCCCTTTAATGCCTACAACTTGGCCCCAATGTCCAATTTTCCTCGGCTCAAGATCAAACTCTTCCAAAAACAGTCTACGAAGGGAAGAAATGCAGTCCAAACCCAAAGTAAAGATAATTAGAAATTTTAAAAAACCAACACAAACCACCCTGAAGTAATTAACACGGCAGGCCAGGATGATAAATTGCAGACTTCCAAAGGATAACGCAGCACACAAGGTTGGGAGGATGCCAAAACCCAGAAAAGCCTGACAAAGCTAATGCACGCTTTGCTTCCAGCAAGGAGCTGTGTGCAAACGCCCCTCTTATATCCTGTTCTTCCAGCTGCAACTAATGAAGGGAATCAGGGCCCTTTCCTCCCCCATAAGCCACGCCACCCATGTTGCTCCCTTCTCCTTTCCTCCCTGCGTGCCCTAGGATGAAGAGGGGGTGGCCCTGGGTCTTCCTCTGAATGCCCAGCTGGACTGTGCCCTTCCCCAGTTTCCTCCACAGCCAGCGGAGCCCCACTCCCACTCCCTGTCAGCTGCTCAATCTCCCTTTCAGAATCAGACTCCAACAAGGGCATGCCAGTAAGTCTGAAAAACAGTTGTAAGTCATATTTTTTCAGCGCCATTGTAACTTTGAACGGTCGCTAAACAAACTGTTGTAAAGTTGAGGACTACCTGTCTTCACCTGGGCTTGATGTTGTTAGCTGATCTTTGGGACCCTGTCTTGGTTTTTCTCCAGATTCAGGATGAAGACGTTCTGCGGCTCTTGTACGAAGAGGCCAAGTACAACATTCTGGAAGGGCGGTATCCGTGTGACCGGGCCGATTGTGACGCGTTAGGAGCGCTGGTTTGCCGAATCAACTTGGGCCCCTACAACCCCCAGCAGCACACGGCTTCCTTCCTGAAGTAGGTGGGACACAAACAACCCCTGAATTCTATGTTGTTTCTCAAGACTAACGCTGGGAAGGTTTCTTCAAAGCAGAGGGAGAGTAAGATTGGTGAAAAATTAAGATATAATTGTGAAAAAACATGTAGAGATAATCCTCGACTTGCAACCGTTCATTTAGTGACTGTTCGGTTACAACAGTGCTGGAAAAAGGGGACTTACGGCCATTTTTCACAATTATGGCCTTTCCAGCTTCCCCATGATCAAAATTCAGGCAACTGACTTGTATTTATGACAGTGGTTATGTCCCAAGGTCATTTGATCCCCTTTTGTGACCTGACGAGCAAAGTCAATGTGGGAAGTCCACCCCTGCTTTTCTGGCTGAGGAATTCTGGGAGATGTAGTCCACAAGTCTTAAAGGGGCCAAGGTTGGAGACCCCTGCTTTGCTGGCTGAGGAATTCTGGGAGTTGAAGCCCAAGTTTGGGGACCCCTGATTTATCACCCAAGCAGGCCGGTTGACGGGTAAAACAATAAAGCAGAAATGGACCACAAGTAATAAAACCTACATGGTTTTATTTCTCAGGAACCTCACACTGCTTAGGTACATGTAATTCTCAACTTACAACAGTTTATTTAGTGACAGTTCAAAGTTCCAGCAGCGCTGAAAAAAAGGGACTTAGGACCGTTTTTCACACTTACGACCTTTCCAGCATGCCCATAGTCACCTGATCAAAATTCAGACGCTTGGCCACTAGTTCACATTTATGACTGTTGCTGTGTCCCAAGATCATGCAATCTGTTTTTGTGACCTTCTAACAGGCAAGGTCAATGGGGAAGCCAGATTCACTTAACAACCAGGTTGCTAACTTAAACAACTGCAGTGGTTCACTTAACAACTGAGGCAAGAAAGGTCGCAAAACGGGGCAAAACTCACGTTACACATTTCTCAACAACAGAGATTTTGGGCCCATTGTGGCCGTTAAATCAAGGACTCCCTCTTATCAATTCTGTTTTGAAAGCAGGTAGAAGAACAAGGCCTGGGAACCGCTGGCTGAGTGGGAGCTTCCGTTTTCCTTTCCTTTTTGTTGTTCCTTCCTTCCTAGGGAGAAGCTGGACTGCTTCTTGCCCTCCCACCTTTGCCACAGAGGCCACAAGCTCTTTGCCAGCCTTCGGAAGCGGGCCGGCTCCCGCAGGCCCATCAGCGAGCAGGGTCTCCTGCGGGCCTTTCGCGAGGTCCCGGAGGCAGGGGCTTGCGAAGAACACGCCACTCTGCTCAGGTTGTACCATGGCTACCTGCAAAAGTGCCACGAGCTTCCTTACTACGGGTAGGTTTGAGTGGGCCGTGGAGCCACGAAGCCCAGGAGAACTCTGGCAAGGCGTCATTCGGTCACGAATCACAAAGCACACACTTTTTTTAAACAAAATTAATTTTATTGAATAAACATTAAAAGCAATTGAACACAGTGCGACTTTCTTGGCCATCATTTTGGCCATACAAGCTATATTACAGAGATACACATAACAGTTAATTTTCTTTTCCCCCTTAGGTTATTAGTATAGTGCTAGCTGAATATTATTTCTATTTACATTTATCTACATTTATCTACAATTATATACACATTTACAACCGTCTTTCATACTCCTGCGTTCGTATCATCTTGTATTTGTCCATTATATTCCATTCTCTTTGGTTTACAAAACTTTAAGTTTCATTCCTATAAAGCGTCAACCCTTTCTTTCTTTTTCCTTGACTCTAGCCATTGATGTATTTTACTCCAGACTTCATAATCCTCTGTCCTCACCTTTATCTTTGATTTCTAAAGTTAGTCTGTCCATCTCTGCACAGACTAATATTTTCCTGATTATTTCACTTTCTGTAGGGGTATCTTCATTCTTCCAGTTTTGGATATACACCAATCTCACAGCTGTTATTATATATATCATTAAATATATTGTTCCTGTACTGTATTTCTCATTAACAGTTCCCAGTAAGAATGTTTCTGGTCTCAACTCTGCTTTCTGGTTAACCATCTCCTCTATCCAAACCCTTATTTTCCACCAGTATTTTTCTACTTTTATACATTTCCATCACATATGATAATAGGTCCTAACCACACTCTTGTCCGCCTCGTCTCTCTCTCTCTCTCTCTCTCTCTCTCTCTCTGCAGCTGTGCCTTCTTCTTTGGGGAAATAGACAAGCCAGTTCAGGGGTTGCTGCATCGGACCGGACGCAAAGCCGTGACAGTGGCCATTAGCCTGGAGGGCGTCTATATTATGGACAGCAAGGAGAAGGTAAACCGGGGACGGCGGTGTGTAGATGGGCTGAGCTGTTTGGGGATTCTTCACTCTTTTTATGGATTCGACTTGCAAGTTGGATGAGATGGCCTGTTAGATTAGATTAGATGAACAGAGTTGGAAGGGACCTTGTAGGTCATCTAGTCAACCCCCTTGCCCAAGCAGGAGACCCTACACCATTTCTGACAGATTACAGATTGAGTTGGAAGGGACCTTATAGGTCATATAGTCCAGGGGTCTGCAACCTTAAACACTCAAAGAGCCATTTGGACCCATTTCCCACAGAAAAGAAAACACCGGGAGCTGATAATTTAACAACCGGTGTGACTTGGTGGGCGTAGCCAACTCGACGTCACTCACTCCCACCCAGTCCTCCTCCTCTGGAATATGGAGTGAGTCTCCATCCACTGCCATCACCCTTACCTTCTCAGGCCAGGTGAGGAGTGATGGGGACGGGCCAACCAGTTGTAGGATCAGCCAACAGGGAGCAACAGCAGAGGACTGAAAGAGCCTCATGTGGCTCCAGAGCCGCAGATTGCAGACGCCTAATCTAGTCTAACCCCCTGCCCTACGCCATTTCTGACAGAGGGCAGCCCAGCCTCTTCTTAAAAGCCTCCAGGGATGAAGCTCCCACAACTTCCGAAGGCAACTTCTATTCCACTGGTTGATTGCTCTCACTTATTCAGTACAGGGGGATCCTCAACTTAGAACCGTTCATTTAGTGACCAAAGTTACAACAGCCCTGAAAAAAGCAACTTAGGACCATTTTCCATACTGACCAATGTGGCATCCCCATGTTCACGTGATCAAAATTCAGACCATCCAAAACACAGGTAGTCCTCAACTTACAACAGTTTGTTGAGTGACTGCTCATCCCCCCCCCCCCCCCCAAAAAAAGTGACTTAAGGCCGTTTGTCACACTCACGACCCATTGCAGCATCTCCATGATCAGAATTCAGGCTCTTGGCAACCGACTCACATTTATGATGATGGAGAGTTACATGATCCCCTTTTGCGACCTTCATAGAAGGAAAGTGTCAGGCTACAGAACTTTTCCCATTCAATCAACTAGAATGAACTTCTGAAAACGTATCAAAACGTATCAAAAAGGAATCCTTTATTGAGATGAGACAATTCATGTAGGGGTTAAAAGCAGCATCTAAGGTCTCTCAGGCATGCAGAGATAGATAAGGGAGCTTAAAACCCCTCCCCTTATCTTGATGTGTGTTTAGTAAAACAAAGAGCCAACATATTAATTCCCCCCACTCCCTTTTTAGAACGACCTTTTCCAGAGTTTCCCAGGACACATCTCACTGGGGAATTTTTATGGTCTTCTCATCTCCTGGCTGTGCCTCTCAGAGGTGATAGGTTCCGGCCATCTGGGTTTCCTCCCTCCATTGTATCATGTGTAGGTTATACAAATTCGATATAAGATTAAATATATTCAGGTTACATCAAGAAAGATTTCTTAATCAGTCTCCCCCCCCCCCCCTTTTCTTCTTCCACTGAAGAAATGAGAGATACACGGATCTGACAGTCAAATGGGGAAGCCAGGTTCACTTTTTTTTTGAAAAAGTTTTTATTTTGACAACAAAAACAAACAAATAAAACCAACTTTCAGTTCAATAGTGTGTCGGTTGTGTACTTATATCCTGTGCACATAGAAATATTATCATACATTTCTTACTTGTTTATAACCATTCTAATCAATATTCTATCTTGCATTGGTCAATTATTATCATTAATATTGTAATTATTACCTTTCAAAAATATATTTCATCCTTACCTAAATTATATTCATTCTCTTGCTCAGTCTAAGTCAATTAATTGTAATATATTATTACTATTATCACTTGTTTCCGTTTCTTACTCTTCTGTCTAACCATTCATAAAATAAATTCAAAATCTTGTAATAATCTTTTTCTTCCTGTTCTCTAATTGACATTGTCAATCTACTCATTTCTGCACATTCACTTAATGACCCTGTTACTGAGTTAACTGCAGTGATTCACTTAACAACTGTGGCAAGAGAGGTTGTAAAACGGGGCAAAACTCAGTGAAGAAATGTCTCGCTTAAGAACCGAAATTTTTTAGTTTACTTTATTGTCATTGTACCTTGTACAAAGAAATTAAATGCCATCTTCGGTACACATTATAACTAAAAATAAAACACAAACACACATCCTTCACATTCTATACAGTTGAATTGAAAACCCCTGATATTGCATTCATATTGCACTCTACAGCAGAATTCAGTAGAGTTACTGCCCTGGGATAGAAGCTGTTTTCCAGCCTATTTGTCCTTGTTTTTATTATCCTGTACCGTCTGCCAGATGGTAATAGTTCAGAAAAAGGGTTCCCAGGATGAGATGGATCTTTGAGACTTTCTTAAGGCAGCGGGAGGTATAAAGCTCTTCCAAAGAGGGGAGAAAGAGCAACCCCTGAACAAATGTCTTGCTTAAGAATCGAAATTTTGGGCTCACTTGTGGTCGTAAGTCGAAGACTACCTCTAAGGGTTTTCTTTTAAATTCGGAAGGCTATAAAGGCCCAGATCCTGGATGGGACAAAGTTGACAGAAGGCCCTTCCATTGTTTCGCCTCCCGGATAAACCTTTTCTGCCTTCCTTGCAGGACGTTTTGCTGGGCCTGCGCTTCCAGGAGTTATCCTGGGACCACACGTTCCCAAGCGAGGAGGAACATATCCTGTGGCTGGAATTCGATGGGGAAAATGAAGGCCGGCAAGTGAACAAGTTGCTCAAGGTTTACTCTAAGCAAGTATGTGTCTGCTGGGTGAGAGAGTTAAACTTTAATGGGTGTCACATAACAATTTACGTTACAATTAAACCTATTTTCTGGGCTCCGTTGTGGTTGTAATTCGAGGACTGCCTGTATCCTTTTTTTTTCCTTTCTGGCATTCCGCTTTTCTTCCCTGTTCTCCCACATAGTGCTAGAATAAATAGGCAGTCCTCAACTTACAACAGTTCGTTTAGTGACCGTTCAAAGTTACAGAGGCACTGGAAAAATGTGATGACCGTTCTTCACAGTTACAGTGACTTGGGACCGTTTTTCAGACTTATGACCATTGCAGCATCCCCAGGGCCACCTGATCAACATTTAGGGGCTTAACAACTGACTCGTTTTTATGACAGTTACTAATTTAAGATCTGCAGTGACTCGATTAACAACTTCTGGTGAGAAGTCGTAAAATGGGGCAAAACCTGCTTAACCGATGTCTTGTTTAGCAGCATAAATTTTGGGTTCAGTTGTGGTCGTAAGTTGAGGACTGCCTGCATTAACTGGACCTGCGTCTCTCTTTTCAGGCCGAACTGATGAGTAGTCTAATCGAATACTGTATTGAGCTAAACGCGTCGACCAGGGCGCTGGATTCGGAGCCCACCACGGCCGCAGTGCCCACGTCTGATCAGCAGCTAGCCAAAATTCAGCGACAGAGCAGCGTGCTCTGTAGCCGGATCCAACGTTTAGCCACCATAGACTACGTCGAGGAAGGTAAGCTGGTGAAAAGAGAGAGAGAGGTTGGAGCAGGGTGTTTGTTGCCTTTCCCAAAACATTGCCTGTGCAAATATCCAGCCAAAACATTTGCTTCTGAGCAGGTTTCCTTTCTAAGAAACACGATACTCCATTGCCTTAATTCACCCAGCAGCTTTCTTCTTAGCAAGGTGCATTCATCAGTTGGGTCTGCATGCTAGAATTTTTCTTTACTAGGACACCTTACAACCAGTTATTACATACTGTACCTCTGTATGGTTTGCCAATTGCACAGTGGCAGATAGGATCGCACTCCAGAGGGTGAATGATCCAGAGGATCATTGGTTGCCCTCTCCTCTCCTTGGAAGAGCTTTTTTTTTTTCAGAATAGCATAGAATTCTCTATTGGCCAAGTGTGACTGGACACACAAGGAATTTGTCTTGGTGCAAATGCTCTCAGTGTACATAAAAAGAAAAGAGACATTCGTCCAGGGTCAAGAATCATGAGGTGCAACAGTTAGGGTCATAGGGTGCAATAAGCAATCAAATCATACTAGGAAACAGTCAATAAAAATCATAAGGATACAATCAACAAAGTCACAGTCATACAAGTGGGAGGGGATGGGTGATAAGGAGTGATGAGAAGAGTAACAGTAATAGTGCAGACTTTGTAATAGTTGAACAGGGTGGAGGGAATTATTTGTTTAGCAGAGGGATGGCGTTCGGGGAAAAACTCTCCTTGTGTCTAGTTGTTCTGGTGTGCAGAGCCCTACAGTGTTGTTTTGAGGGAAGGAGTTGAAACAATTTATGCCCGGGATGTGAAGGGTCTGGAGATATTTTCACAGCCCTCTTTTTGACTCGTGCAGGGTACAGGTCCTCCATGGAAGGCAGGTTGGTAGTAATTGTTTTTTCTGCAGTCCTAATTATCCTCTGGAGTCTGTGTATGTCCTGTTGGGTTGCAGAGCCAAACCAGACAGTTATAGAGGTGCAGATGACAGATTCCCACTGCCTTAAGAAAGTTCAAAACATCCTCAAAGATCCATCTCATTCTGGGAGCTCTTTTTTTTTAACTATTACCATCTGGCAGATGGTACAGAATAATAAAAACAAGGACAAATAGGCTGAAAAACAGCTTCTATC